AATCTAGTACTACCTGTTAAAAAAACTGGAACGGAGTTAGAATCCATATATAAGCAATTAAAGGCAAAGGGGTTATTCATTGGAAATAAATTAGTGATTAACGCAAAAATTCCACTGTTTAGCAAGCAGTCATCTACTATATATAAAATAATACCAATACCCATAAACCAAGGCACAAAATATATAATTCCGAAAGTTATGTCATCATTTCTTCTCTATAATCTGGAAATAAATGCTTATCAATTGATGGATCCTTTGACATGGAGTCAATGCAGCAAGATAGCGGAGCAACAATTTACTTGTGAAGGTAATTTTCCTAGGACAGATGCAAACGATAACTCTTGCGAAATTTCGCCACTAAAACCAACTAATCAAGATAATTGTCACTACGAAGAAGTAAATAATTCTTCCATTTGGGTCAAATTATATCGACAGAATAGTTGGATATTCAAAACTTTTAAACAAGAATCTGCCCACATTAGATGTTCAAATTCAATGGAAGATATAATAAACTTATCAGGTCAAGGCATTTTGTCACTAGCAGAAGGATGTACATATGACACGTATAAGAGGAACAACATTAACATCCTCTAGTAATCTGCAAAGCTCTGCGATAGTAGAGGAGCTCAAGCCGGTTATTAGAGACGCAATTATGATTGATAATAGTAATATAAAACCTTGGCATCATTGGAAAATAAATAACAAAGAAGAAATTAATCAAATAAATAAGAAAATAAATGAGATAAAGGGTAACACAGTAAAGCTAAAAGATTTACAATTTCATCACATTTCTGGGCACACGACATTAGGATTAACTACAATCACAATAATCGTAATAGTGATTTATCTAACTCGAGCAGCGCTAATAAGAAGAAAACTGTTGTCTATTTCTATTAAAGGCCCTCGGCAGACTGTTCAAAAATGAACAATTAACATAATCTATATTTGTTTATTAATATATCTATTATATATTATATATTAATTAATTAATTAATCTTAAAAAAAAAAATATAATAAATAATGAATCATGTTAATTTATATAATTTTTTTAATCTATATTACCATGTTAAAATCCTATAATTATTTTTTTATAAAATTGAAATACTTAAAAAAAAAAGTTTTGTTAAAAGAAAATAACTATAAAACTTATATATACTATATTATTGAATTAAACTTTTATATTATATTATACCTTTATATTAAGTCATGCTGCCTTAATTAAGGCGATGGCAGCATGTTCAATAATGAACATGTTTTAGTATTCAAATTACTAATATTCAATTTCATATTCATTTTATATATTAAGCCATTCTGCCTTAATAAAGGCGCTGGCAATATATTCAATAATGAACATGTTATTTTAAGACAAATGGCAGTTTTCTCTTTAAAATCATAAAAAATTATATTAAAATTAAAATAATGCACAACTGTGCATATTTAACACGTTGGCTGGATGTCCTTAAATTGACAGTTTATTATTCCAAGCCTGTTATAGTTTAAATTCTTAGAATTATATACGAAGGAAAAAACACGGGTAATAAAAAACCCAAAACTAAAATAGTAACATTGTAGAATATTAAACACATTTTAAAATACATTTTATGATACACGGCACCGTATCGATAATAAAAATATATTTGTAAAATAATAAAAATCCTACGTGCCGGGATTTTATTGTATCCTTTTTTTTGTAATGCAGTACAGTCCACTCAAACAAGCGATAACAGGTAATAAATATTGTAAATTAGTTAAGTTAGTTTTAAGATTATTTTTGTATAAATACAGCATACTTTTTAAAATAAAATCAGTATCGACTGAATATTCATATGGTAAACTTCGCTTTCTTATTTTTATTTAATCATTTTTGGTCCTTCGAAGCCAAGGAAATTGTATAAAAATATATATGAGTCATAGTGATCACCCACCAGAGGTAAGACACTTGACTTAAACATTTTTTAACAACAAAAGAACAACAACAGACAAACAACAACAACAAAAGAAGAAGAAGAGATCGGGAAAAGCATTCCAGAAAAGGAAACAGATAGCTATTCTCTATCAAAAACTACATTTGCAAACCGATAAGGAAGATAGATTGGTTATGCAAAAAGAAATCAATGAATTAAGAAAAAAAAAAGAAATAAATTAAAAATAATAATAATTTAAATAATTTTTTTAATACCTTTGTATACCACGTAATCTGAGGTGGTATCAATGTCTGTATTTGCTTACTTTGTTACACTGACTATTAGGCACATAAACCAATAATCAGGTAGTTAAGATGAAAGGCTTGCAGGCACATAAACCGCTAGCCAAGTAAATAAATAATTTTTATTTTGTTTCTACAGTGGTTAAAAGGCACATCTACCAATAACCAATTTTTGATTGTGAAGTAAAGACGATTGTTTTCGCTTTTAAGTTTTATTATTAATATTGTTACCTTATATAGTATAGAATTACTTACTAAGCATAATAATAATTACAATTATTGGTGACTAAAATAATGATTTAAATTTCACATATTGCTGCATAAGCATAAATACAATATGTGAAGTTATTGAACTTATAAACGTAAATATTTACAATATTTATTTGCTGCATAAGCGTGATTACAAGCGAGCTAAAATATGTTAGGTTTGTTAAACTTAACATTCTGTCCGGCTTGAATTACGTTATTCAAGAATGAATCTATGAGCAATGATTAATTTGATTTGCAATGCATTATGTGTGTTTTTTTTAAAAAATCAACAAAAAAAAAATAAAAAAAATAATTACAACATTTTGTGGATATATAAATACACATATAATTTTTAAACAATAAATAGTTATACAATATTATATAAACTTAAAAATATAAAATTTAGAGTTTGTAGCATCATGAGAATTTGAGAAGCTATGTAATTGTTTCAGGCTCCAAAGTAAATCTTGTTCGTGGCATCGCGTTTGGTGTGAGAGTTTGTGTTGGCTGATTGACTTCTGGACGCTTTACCTGCTTTATTTTCCATATCATCCATATGATGGCTCCAACGACAAGAATTAGGGTTATGGAATTAATTGCGTAGTGGTGCATGCTGTCCGTCTGTAGTTTGTGTGGTAATTCAGCGAATTTTTCATCTTTCAGAGTATTGTGAAGTAGCTTTAACTGTTTAAGTTCATTGCTGAGATTCAATGAACTTCCTTTAAATTTTGACCATAATTCTGAGTTATTGATGACAGGTATCTCACCAAATGCAATGTAAGATTCATACATGGTGTCGGTAAGCGTTTGATGTGTCTGAATTGTAGACGTTTGGTGTTTGAGTACACAGTCGTCTTGTAATTTCAGCAGTGTTGCACCTTGTAGTTCTAAATGAGTCGTGATGCCCTTACAGACGGCCGTAACTGTTGTATTGTTTTTTGACCCGAATATTCATTGGTTCGCATGATACAGGGGACTCCAAATAATGTTCGATTTTGTTTCCTGCACATTACACGTATTGTCAGATATGTTTTTTAATAGGTTAAATTCGCAAGCGTAAACCTGTGAGCCGGTGTTATATTTTGATTGTTTATCTGAACAAAGTAGTTTGTTTTCTGGTTGCTTGAAAATCATACACTCCTTATACTGTTCACGAGTTAAGGCAAAATATTGGTCTCTATGCGGCGTGGCAGCTAAAAATGAAGCTTCTGGAACTCTTGTCATCATTGTATTGTTGACTGTTGCAGGAATTGGGACGAGATTGAATAAATCGAAATCCTCATGATCGGTTAATGGCAGTTGTAAGACAACTATCAAATGATCTTGTGTGATTCCACTTTGTGAAGACATCAACGTGTATAAATGAATAACATCCTCTTGATTAAATGGAAGACGAAGTGAATGAGGTAAATGGCCCTTGATCTTCATGATTTGGTTTTGAAGTTGTTGTGGAGACATCAAAAGAGAATTAATTCTGCCATGCTGAGTATCAGTTAAGACATCAAATATCGCAGCTTCAATTTTCATTAATGTATGTGCCATCCATGTAAGTTGGGTTACCAGTGATGTATAGATCTCTAGGTGGTTAATACGTTTAGTATTATGATTAGTGTGATCTACTATTTTGTTTGTCTCATCTTGTAGTTGATTCAGTTTGACTGCAATGGCTTCTGTAGTTTTGCTGAATATATTTAGAGTTGAGTCCATGACTGTAGTCTGATTCTTGATCATTTTTGATAGTACATCTTCATTATTGTTGATTTGAGTTAGAGTTTTAGAAATCGTTTCAGCATATTCTGAATCTAAAACACCAAATAATTTGTTAGCAATATTTCCAACTATATTGATGGCTCCTCTGGCTGATCGGTGTCTCGTCATGACCTTCGTTTCAGTTCGTAACTCTATGTTAGTATTATTGAATTGACGGACGAGCTCATAACAGCTTTCTTGATGCTGTAACAATGGGCACAATTGCTGAAGTGCTGCTGTGCCATTTTGAAACCTTTCGATCTCCTGGTGTAAGCGCTGTTAGATCATTTGGATCGGATGACATTTTTGTTATTGGCCTTGAATTTAACATGGCTTCTATTTCAGTTATGACTGTTGTCAATTCCTCATAAGTCAATGAAGCGTTGAGAATTCCTTTAATCATTAAATGTTTAGCTGACTTGACGGCAGCTTCCCAGAGTCCTCCAAAATGAGGAGCTCTTGGTGGAATGAATTTGAAGTCAATTCCCTTGTTACTACTGGTCTTAATGATCTTTTCTTTTCCATTTTCTGAATAAATGGTAGACTGGAGCTCTTGTAGTTGGTTTCTCGCCCCAACAAAGTTAGTCGCATTGTCACTATAAATTGTTTGGCATCTTCCTCTTCTGCTGATAAAACGTTGAATAGCGGCTATGAATGCCTCTGTTGTCAGGTCACTCACCACTTCTAGGTGAACAGCCTTAGTCGCGAAACAGCAAAATACTGCTAAATATGCCTTTGTTGGCCTTTTTCCTCTAATTTTATAATGAATCCATATCGGGCCACAGTAATCAACTCCTGTGGTAAAAAATGGTTTAGTCAGAGTAACTCGATCAGTCGGTAAGTTGCCCATGAGTTGGTCCATCAGTTTTGGTTTTGCCTTTGAACAGATGACACAGCTGTGAACAATGTTTCGCGCCATAATCTTTCCTTTAATCGGCCAGAAGTTTTGTCTCATTATGCTTAGCAATAATTGTGGAGCACAATGGGAATTTTCTTCATGTTTCATTTTGAACATCAATTTCACTATTGAGTGATTGTAAGGAATTACCATTGGGTGTTTAGCATCATATGGCAATGTTGATGCTTCAAGCCTTCCTCCAACACGAAGTACACCTTGTTCGTCAATGAACGGTGCTAAAGTATTTAGTTGACTTGAACTGTTGACTGCTTTACATTGTTTTAAATCAGAGATTTCCTTTGCAAATTCTGAGCCCTGAATAGTTTTAATTATGAAGACTAATGCATCTCGTAATTCTTTTGGAGAAAGTGTTCTTGTTGGTGATTGTGTGCGATGAAATACACGGCGAACATAAGCAATTGTTCTTTGGAGGTATCTGAATGAGTTTCGATGATCAATTTGATTTATCATGTGATCAGAACTAGTCGTTTGAATGATAATGTTAACTGTATGTCCTTGTCGTCTTTCGATATCAGTTGAGATGTTAAATGCCTTTGGGTTTGGCTGTTGCCAAAATTCGTTGCTTCCATGAAGAAAGAGTGGACCAAAAAACCATATATGTGAATAATTGAACATTTTAACCTTTATTCCTCTGGAAATGATGTCAGCAGGATTATCCTTTGATGCCACATGATGCCATTGATCAGCATGTGACATCTCTTGAATTTTGCTAATACGATTTGTTACGAATGTGTGCAATGAGGCAGATGAAGATATTATCCATGACAAAACAATTTTGGAATCGGACCAAAAGTAGGTTGGCACGTTTTGATACTTTAAATCTTGTTTAACTCTTTCTGCTAATTCGACTCCCAGCAATGCTGCGCAGAGTTCTAGTCGTGGAAGTGTCTGTTTCTTTAATGGTGCTATTCTAGATTTGGCGCACAATAGTCTCGATGTTATTGTCTTATCATTATATATTGCTCGCACGTACATAGCTGCTCCATATGCCTTCTCTGATGCATCCGTAAACATGTGTAATTGAATCGAACAGGGAACCGTCGAATTAAAAATATGTCTGGGTACTTTCACAGTATTTAATGTTTGTAAGTCATTTCTAAACCGCTTCCATTCTAGCTGAGCCTGAGGTAACAGTTCCGCATCCCAGGAATAGTTTTGTTGCCACAATTCCTGCATGAATATTTTAGCTGTTACAGTAATGGGGCCAAAAATTCCCAAAGGATCAAAAATTCGAGCTAAGTCCGATGACATCTCTGCCTTACCGCAAAATTCGTCTGATTTCGGGAGCCAAATAATGCCTAATGTTTTTGTTGGCTTTATGGCTGAGTCATCTAAATCAAGGTTGATTTCTTGGTCTTCTATCGGAATGTTTTGTAGGAGTCGTGTATTATTTGAGCACCATTTTCTCAGCTTAAATCCTGATTTACTGAGCAGTTCCGTAAGTTGTTGTTGAGTGTCTAAGGCGGTAATGATGCTGTTAGTTCCGCTTAAACAGTCATCTACATAAAAATCATTAAGTAATGCAGGTGCTCCAAGCGGATA